CTGCGGTGATAACAAAAAGCTTCTTGTTTCTAATAGCAAACATTGTTTCTACTAGTAAGGCACCTGTTACTACTAGCGTGGCACTTGTTACTACTCTTTTTTTGGAACTGATTGTTTTCCACTGCGGTGATATATAAGCTAGTAGTAACAGGTGCCACGCTACTAGTAACAGGTGCCTTACTGGTAGTAACAAGAAGCTATTAGAAACAATAAGAGCAGCCAACCTGCGGTGATGTTTTTGTTTTTCTCTGGACCCTCGCAGAGGTTCTGGAGTTGTTCTCGTTGAAAACGAGACATCCGAACCTCGCCATGAGACCTCGTTAAAAGCACTTGGGCGCTGATCTTGGTGGCTTTGGACATGTGAGCAAAAAATAACAACGCCTTCTGTGTGAAAGAACTCACCCATAAGAATCCTTGGGTCCTCCATGGTAGGGGTCGGACCCCAACTAAACCCTTTCCATTGGTTCGAGCTCGGATTTTTATAGGATCTTATAGGACACAAAACCTTTGGGGATCGAGGACTATTCAGTCAAATTGGAAGATTTGATTGTTCTAATTACCTGCGTCTGGAGTTTAATGTAGACTCTTGATTACTGTAATATACCACCCCAAATGATGAGGATTCTCAATTCAATTGGAAGGGCTTATTAATCAAGAGTCTACATCACTGATTTTAGGTGAGAGATAGTGCGACCGAAACCGTGACGTCGGCGCATGTCGGCGCGTGTGCACAGGCGGCGCCGCCCAAGCCACTGCGACCCTTTTGTCTTCAATCTTCATGACCTACTTCCTGAGGATTTGATTGGATCTTCGGCTTTTCGGAAGAGGGAACGCAGGGTAGTACCCAGAGTAGATTCCAGGATATTCCAGGTGTGTATTGAGTATAGAACGCTTGTACGTAGGGTGATTGAATTTGGGTACTGCCCTGCGAAACCCAACACAAATTTTTGACCTATTGGATTGGTATCAGCGTTTGATGTTATTTTAGTAGGAATCCCCACAGGTTCACCTCATTTTGCGCATCAGTCAAGTGAGGGAGCAGAGTCCTTGGATCTTCCACGATCTTCCGCAAGGAAAGCTTGCCATCCTTTCTCTAAAAGCCTTTTGAGGATTGCTTGAGGAGGGACCAATTCTACGGAGTCTGACCTTCTAAGAAGGTCGCTGCAGTGACGATGTAACGTGAATTATTGTCCTTCTTTCCGGGCGGGAACAAGAAAAGCTGACCTGGATTTGCTTGTTCGTTTTGGTCGTTGGTGTGTGGTAAGTATTGCACGAAAAGGATCTCCGTGCCGAGCCGCAAGTCCACAGAGTTCATGTAGCTGCGTAACTGCTGGTGGCGCAAAGGTTCGCCACCTTGAGCATCCAGTGAAAAGCAAGAGCATCATCCAGGGCAGTTATGACATGTTATGACAGTTATGACATGATATGCTGTGACCCAAAAAAAGCCACAGTTATGGCAGATGTGGCAAAGCATAACACATTAATCATGGTAAACTGGGTGCCTGGCAGTTCAGCCTGACACTACGACACTGTCACTGCGTGGAAAGAGCGGGAGTGTGAGCTTTCAATTGGTCCAGGACGGGGCAGGAAGTAGTCCAAAATAACCTTAAAGGCGGGGTGTTTTTGCCGTTTGGGGGGATCCCCACACGCGGTTGTGCCCCTGTGTGACAGCGGCATACCATCAACATCAGTTGGAGATGTCAGTCCATCATCATGATCATCATCACCATCATGATCGGCTGGAATAGTCTGAGCTGATGTTGTTTCCCGTGAAGACCGGCTGTCCTAGGCAACAGCATACCTTGCAAGTATACCAGATGTACTTCCCCTGGAAGGTCTACGTGCTCGGGACTTGAGTATAAGGGTTCTACTACCTCAATCATGTGGCGAATTGGGTTCTCCAAGACGAATCTATTTGTTCGGTCCCACCATGTCCCACCTGATTTTGTTGTTTTTTTTAAGGTCTATACGTATTATACATGAAAGCCCGACCAGGTCAACCTCCCACACGCATCAACCCGAATGTGGGATGTTTGCTGGACTGATGCCTTCAGGTTAGTGGGGTGCACTTGTGCACCACTCGCCCGGACTACGCCTGACGACTCGCCCGGGCGAGTCCAAGGGATATTGCCAGGAACCACAGCTTGACTTTCCTGTGAAAGCAGGAATTCCCGAGGACATACCTACTAGGTGCCTAGAACCTGAGTGACCCCTAGGTTGGATCACTAACCACTCAAAAAAAGGAAAAGTGTATTTTCCTATCAAAAACAGAGGTCAAGTGGATTCGCCGTGTAGAATTGCATCGGGTTCCGGTATTTTTGTTTTCCCCACACCAAGTGATTCCTGGTCCAACCTTCCGCACTCTTCGCACTTCGCAGTGTGAAATCCACACCCACCCCAAGCAGGGAACGGGTACCCACCCACCAGCCCATCAAGTTCAAGATCGGATTCTGCAGGAGTTCAGCCGTTGGACCGCTCCGGAGGAAGAGCCCCGAAACCGCAGGAAGCGTGGGAAGCGTGGAAGGTTTCGGGGTTTGGAAGCATTGGTTCAAAGGTGTTTGGGGAAGCTCCTGCCCCAACAGCAATTGGATGGTGAACAAGAAGAGGCCAACAAAGACGGATGTTTTGGGGTGTGTTTGGTGTGTTGCCGATGGGTTCCCTTCGTTTCCCTTCACCCCCGACGTGAACGGAACGTTCCGTGTTGTTTTCTACTCGAATGCTTTTGAAGTTCGAACGTTCCGTTGACAGTTTTGTTGAACATTTATTCCAAACGATAGATCATCTCATGAAATCATATGGTCAGTAATGTAGAATGCGTGTCGATGCCGTTTTTTTTGGTCTTTCTGGCAGAAAGGAGCGGTCAGGCTTCACTGGTACGTGGTAAACAGCTGCGGAAAAGAGCTGCGAGTTGGGTCATGGCAATTGTGACATCCAGAAATTTGCTGATACCCTAGAAGTCCGAGGACTATATTTGGCACCACGTAAAGGTAAAGATAGAGGAAGTTCCGCTTTGGGCACCCAAAAAGGGTATTGGACGATCAGACAGTGGTCAATCAATGGGCACATCGCACCGGGACAACGTTCTTTTGTGTTCGACTCAAATGCCACGGCGCGTGTTGTCAGCACATGCCGTGGGAATAAAAGCACAAATGGTGTGGGAATAAAAGCACAAGTGGTCTGTTTTTCCTTCTTCCAGGGGGTCGAATTGCGAGGTCGCCCTATTTGAGCTACACACCCTAAATGCCTTTTTGTCCATTGAAGACTTGCTAAAAGCAAAGGCAGAGGCACCACTCAACAGCCGAGCATCTACTGTGTGGGTACCTGGTCGTCTATGAGGTGATCCAGCTCTTCGTATGTTCCACCATCAAAAGACGGAAGAGAAACGACAGAAGACGCAGACAACAAGATATCACAACACCTGCCGAGAAGATGAAGACATCTCAGGACCCCTTGGACCAAGAGAGAAGGTCCTGAGAACGGACCCCGACCGACCACCCGCTTCGCGGCGCTTCGCATTCCGTTTTGATCCGAGGCCCAGCCTGGTGGATGAACCGGAAGCTCCAGAGGAGGCGGGAGAAGAGTGGTTCCGGCGGAGAAGAGTCTAGTAATTTTACTCACGTGAGAAAAGATTCCTTACTCTCCTTACTCGTTCCAGCAAATAGTCCGCAGTTAGTGTGTTTGGTTGTATTTTATGTTCTTGTCACAATCTTTAGCTTTAATGTCAGTATTGCTCCTCACCCTCCCATTTGTTCTCGAGGCATTTTGGAGGAGACCGGATGTTGGCTTCAATTCACGAAAGCTAGCGAAGCTAGCTGGAGTTACTCTTGCGATAGCAAGGTTTCTTTCGACCGGGTGCAAATCCTAACCCCTGATTTTTCAGGTCGAAGACCCCCCCCC